AAAAACAGCAATAGCTAGTAATTTGTTCCTAAATAGATGTATGTAATCAAGCAATTTACTCCAAATTTGTATGTCGAGCCCGTATCTCCTCGGGGCTCCGACCCAGAACCTCGCCCAGCTCGTAAACCGCCATCTCAAACAGCACAAACATCGCCCCCTCATACACACTCCCCATCGGCAACAGATCCCGGCCCGATCCGCTTCCTTCGGGCCCAACCCTATCGTCAGCCATCGTCTGCGCCGGGATATGGGCCACCGCCGTCGCGTGCTTCGCCGATGAACCCGACTCCGGTTGCGCAGTCAGAAGCAGCACCCGGGCGCCGCCACCCCTGGCCAAGCCGCAGATGGCGTCGACGGTGGCGAAACCTCCCGGTCCGGCGGAGGCGATGAGGAGATCCGGCGAGGCGATTGGGGGCGTGGTCATGTCGAACACGCAGTGGGCCGGGAGGCCCAGGTGGAAGAGGCGCATACAGAGGGCCCTCAGCATCAGGCCCTCGCGGCCGACGCCGTAGACGAAGATCTTGCCGCCGCGGCCGGAGGCGGCGGATATCTCGTCGACGAGGAGGGAGAGAGGCGGCGGCGTTGTGGTGGGGGCAGTGAACACGGTGGCCAGGTGGTGGCAGATCTGGGCGGCGTAGGCCGCTGACGTGGAAGGGGAGGGGTTGGATTTTTCTTCTGGTTTAGACATTAGGAGGTGTCTGTTTGCTACACTAGTGGAGTAACCTTATCCACATAAAACATCATAGGCTTATAAAAATGATGTGTTGCAACGAAATGTAAAAAATAAAGAGTGGATCGTATTGTAATATAGATTGTCAATATGTAAGATCCATGTGTAAGATCGATAAACAAAGAGAGAGAAAGCCGTAAAAGAGAATAAAAGAGAAGAGATACGCCTCATTCACTTGAACCCTATATATAAGAAAATACAGTGTACATGACAAAAGACCTAATGGGCTCCTGACCTATACCTACAAAGTCTATATCTAGATAATGTTCACAAATTAATATTTACAATACTCCCCCTTGGACATTACCGCATCATGTCTATGCCTCGTTAAAAATCTCGCTATAAAACCCAGTGGTAAAAAAGTCGAGGAAAAGAGTACATGACATATGCAAATTTATGTGTTACACTTGTTGTCTCGTTAAAAATCTTACTAAGTAAAACCCAATGGGAATAACTTAGCTAAGGGAAAAAGAGTACAACACTGACCAACATGGCCTAATTTTTAGGTTTACAATTAGTCTTCCGGACTTGATCTTGGAGATTTATTTATCCCTCCCCCTGAAGGCAAGAGCCTTCCAAGTTACAATTATAAGAGCTTTCTGAAAATGAATTGTCATAATACTTTTGTTGGTCTTCCAGAGTTAATATATATTCAAAAATATCATCAAATGTATTTCGATAATTTATTTGTGTAACACAAACTATTTTATCTTAGAGATAATTATGGGGAAATCTCAATAATAAAAGTAATAAAGAATAAATACCATTTCAGAGATATATAACCAATCGAGGACCCAATACTTCAGGGAGCAATTATACAATTGATGTCTTTATCCACCAATAATATATATCAAGTCCAAAGATAACTCAACATACACGAAATCATAATGGGATATTCTCATTATTTATCACGATAGCTCTTTAAGGAGAGAAATAGTAAATCTTGCTAGCAAATTCATTGCAAATGCAGTATCAGGCCTGATGCAGTTTGCGTGATAAAAGTTCAGCACAATTGCACTTAGTAAATAAATTTCAGGTCGTTTGTAGACTTCAAGTCCATTGGAACTTCAGGTCCTATAATATCCTCATTTGTTTCTTTGGATATTTATAAATCTTTGTCAAATTTTAAATATTTGACACTCATTGGTGTTATAATTTTACATCTCTAAAAAGAGATTCAAGTAGATTGGTTGGGTAAAAAATACTCCTTATAAAAGATGCTCAATCTACAAGTTGAGATAATACTCTTTGGTATTTAACCAAGAGTTTCATTCTAACTCCGTCTATAAGCATGAGCTAACTTATTTAATCTTTTACATAGTGTTCATCACATAATCTATTTGACCGAGATGATCATTTTGTATATTATCATTAATATACCCAAGGTTCTACCTTGAATTTCTTACTTTACTTCTTCAGGAAGAATTTAGTTGGTTGTACAACATCTTACCAACAACTTCAAATAATTAAACTATTTATTATTTAATTATCGGTCATCTCGGGTACTCGAGTCCATTCAGGATTTTCACATATGACTCAATAGTTATGGTAATGATGCTGCCATAAATATTAACTTGTGGAATCATTGATAAAGAGAGAACTTATTAAAATAAATATTTGAGGCTCTGCATAAACCCATGAGCATAATCTTGCTATATTTACATCACACCACCACATCATATGTTTCATATAAATATTCATTATCCTTCTGGTACATGCATCCTGCTGGGATATATCTTGTAGCGAGTGAAAGCTCTGCTTCAATTTTCCTTTCTATCTCAATCAACCTAAGTGCTTCTAGCACTTTTATTATTTTAATCCGGATCATTATTTGAGATAGTAAGGAAATCACACAGGCAAGTATGTTGTCGACAACTGATATTCAATTTATATTTTTCTCTCAACCATATATGCAACTTCATATTTACTAGCCATATTTATAATCATTTTCCATAACATATAATTTTGGCCATTCCTCATTTCCAGTACTATAATGGTTTGATGTACATACAAGATGTACTGGATCAACTCTTCAGGAGTTTCTTATAAAAGAGTGTTAATTCTTGAATATACATTTTCCGCGGACGTTCATACATCATATTCATTATATCACCTTATGCTTCTAGCATCAAGGAGTCAATCATTCCCTAGGGAAGTTGCTTACTTTGTGGTACATCTATATATCTAAAAATTGGTCACTCCATTATTACTATAGATTTCGCTTGGCAGATATATAATATAAACTTCAAGTTCAATTTTTATTGCGTGGTTTCAAATAATGAAAACATTAATATTTCTCATATTTCACGGCATTAATAAACTTATGCTCGTATCTCACCCTAATGCCGTGAAATCATCTTCATATATTTTGCAAAAAACGTACCAAATAATAAATTGATTCCATATAATGACCTCTAGGTATTAAAAATTCGATGGAGTATAAAATTCATAGCATACCTAGTTTTGTAATATTGGCCCAGAAAGGTATGAATTGGTGGTGATATAAAATGGTGCATAATAAAATAACACAATAAATTGTAGATGAGAAATGTTCGATTCTCCACGTATTTTAGGAGGTATTCAGATTCATGGACAAAATAATAAAATTTGTGCGTATTTTTATTTATAACTCTTCAGGAGTATGACAATTGAAGTGTGAGAAATTTCATTACATAAGATAAATAATATTTTTCCTCATTCATCATTGAAAATAATCTTTATCTAGATGATAACGTCTGCTAGACATATCTTACGTGTGATAACACTTTCAAATCTTAACAAGCAATATGAAGAATGATATGATACATATCAAACAAGAGATGCTCATATATAAATAAGGACAATTACATCAAGGAAATATATAGTCTTATAGAAGATAAATAATTTTCTATTATATATCTCATGTGAAAAAATATGATACTTTTGCACATGTGCTTCTGGCACTAATACAATCTCAATGAACCACTTTTATATCACTATTCTTAATCTATTGTGTCCATGAGTATTGATTTGGTTGAATTTCATTATTCTCATGTATTACTTCAGAAATACAAAATGTTCATAACAAATCATAAACTATTCGATATAATCATAATTCAAAATTAGTCATCAAGACTTACTCAAAATGTAATCATTCTTTTATTTTGATACTTGTATGCTGCTCCTTCAGGGAGTATATCAAAATTTTATTGTAAATCATGGGAGATACTTACATCGGTGTTGATCCTTCCGGAAGTATATAAAACCATTATTAACTTATAGAAGATCCTTCAGGGAGTGTATAAGAACTTCATCGTCAACTTATCAGCTATCGATAAATGAAATATTGATTGACATCTTATAGAATTGATGCACTGTTTTAATTATTCT